ATTAGCGGGCATACATGTCGCAAAATAATTGGCAAACCTGGTTCTGGACACAAACCAGTCAATGCTAGTATGACCATCGGCATCGAAAGCATGACAAGGAAAGTGCCAACTAAGTTATCATGGAACTTCAAGAAGGCTGACTGGCCAAGATTCATAAATCTTTTAGATAATGAACTTCGCACAAGTCCTATCAACTTCAACGAACATCCTGACAAACTCTGCAACGAAATCACGAATATTATGATCAGATGTGCAGAGAAAACTATTCCCATTGGCAAGACCAAACACTATCGACTGTTTTGGTCTAAGCACCTTGAGGAACTGAAAAGGAAGAGGGATGCCCTTCGCAACACTGCTAATCAGATCGGAAGAACAGAAGACGTACCAGCCTGGAAACGGCAGTCAACTGTCCTAAGACAAGCCATCTTACAAGCCGAACGGACTTCCTTCGATAACTTCAACTTAAATAACAATTACCAACGGATCCGACTAAATATCTGCGCTACAATGGAACCAGGACAACTTCTGATTTAAGAGCGCAAAGATCGACGAACCAACAAATAACCACTTTCTCACAACACATCAAAGATGCCCTTGTTGCATGAAATACCCTTACGGCTGTATTCGTCGATTTCAAATCAGCTCTTACGGCTGTATTCGTCGATTTCAAATCAGCATATGACTTAATGTGGAAAGAGAAGCTGATTCTAAAATTGGCAAACATTGGTATTAAGCAACACATGCTAAACTGGATTAAAGCATTCATTGAACGAACATCATATAAAGTCAGATATCCAAATTCAATCTTTTGCAAACAGTCATTACACAGGGAGCTGTCACATCCTGCACTCTTTTCAATGTCTTCATCAATGACATAGCCAAACGACAGTCACGCTCATCATTGACATAGCCGAATTGGTACAGACAGTCACGGGAGTTAAGTGGTTACTTTACGCAGATGATCTTGTTCTATGGTATTCCGCCCTTAAGAAAAAATCGCTCAGGAGAGGACGGAAAGTGCCCTAAATTGGGCACTTAAACTACAGAAAACTCTTGCGACAACAATAAAATGGTTATCAACACAGCGAAAAATGCATTCCAAGCATTTTCTTTGGCCCGTCACAGCATAAATCCGCTTCTAATATACAAGGATACTACCATAGAAAAAACAATG